TTAATGATTCCTAGTTTTTACTTTCATTATAAAATAATCCAACCACCAAGCCAGGAAAAATGAAATTATTACTCTACCCTTAACTAGTTTAGTGGTGGACTTGGTAGTGTTAGGTTAATGGTTGGACTGGATGATCTTAAAGGTCTTTTCCAACCTAAATGATTCTATGATACTATGATTCTATGATTTTAATTTCAAATGCTGAGGAATATTTTGTTTCCATCAAAGTTAAAAATATTAGCCACTTAGTTACATTTTAAAAGATACTTAAGTTACTTTTCTGATTACTAAAGCTATTATTTAAAAGCTTACAATTACATCCCAAATACAAGCAGTTATAGTTCAGTTACTAGTTGGGAGAAAATTCAAGAAAAATCAATAGACCTGGGAGTCCGTGATCACGGCCACGCTGTAAATTTAACGACGCTAAATCAAGTGAACCATTATTGGACAACACAAACAGTTTTTCTGTTAATTCCTCATTCAGTAGTTGATCTTGCACCTGCAGTTTTGCTGAATGTGCTAGAAGACCCCTTAGTAAAGGATCCAAGCCTCCTTTAAACACAAAAATAATACAAAGTTACAGTGTATCTATAAGCTATTGTAACTTTCTTAACAAATGTGAATGCATGTATGCTTCTACATTTTCTGAACATTGACCACAGGCTTTTACATTCAAACCTATGCAAAAATGTCCTGCAGGTTGAAATAGAAGTAATAGTGCTATAAAAAAGCTCCATCTGCTTCTTCAGGTGTAAGAAAATTTGCAACCTGATAATATATTCATCCACAAAAAGAAAAGATAAAGAATATCTTCATCATCAATCATCAATCTATTGTCAATCTACCAGACTGGTTTAATCTGGAGAAAAACTTTTGACTGATTCAGAGAACTATTTATCTCAGAATAATTGTTCCAGTTCATGTTCATGTTCTGGAACCAGTTTAACAACTTAAGTCAGTGATGCAATTAAATAAATGTTCCTATTCCTAATTCAAGATAAGTAACTTTGAAAAAAATTACAATATTCTGGAAAAAAACAGTTTCAATAAAATCATACCTTCTTTAATGAGCCTCCAGGGACTAAAGAAAACTTCATGCAAATGAAGATTTGGGAGTTCTGGATCATCTAAATACTGTGCATTCAATCGCCTTACTATTGGTTGGATTGTTGCATGACCAAAACGAAAAGCAGCTGTTGAAAATACGTTAGAAACCGTAGGATTCATTGTGGGATCATAACCTGTATAAAGGCCAATATACAGATTAAAAGCATCTGTACCAATGATTTTGGGAATGTAATCTCTTAAAGTAATAATCTGAAAGAAAAGAAAAAGAAACATTTATCATTCAGTGTTTTTATAGATGAATAGTAATGGTTCCCACATGCTAAATGCCTTTTTCTTCACTCATCTATCCCCAAGCATTTGGTATGGCTAAGGCCAGTATTAGCTGGTAAACAATATTGTACCTATTTTTGCAATAGAGACAAATGACTGGAGAGAATTAGTGGCACGGCTCAGTGCAGTACGACAGCCAGGCCCCTGTTAGCTCCTACCATAAATGCCAGACCAAAGCCTCCTCAGTAGAGATTACCACTGTTGCTCATTTCTAATCCATGGGCGTAATTCAGCTCACAGGATTTAAAGGTCTGATTATGATGGTGTAAATTATAATGCCCTTAAAAATGGCAATGAAAGTGTGAATTAGTATAAAACTTTCAAGAATGGTTGTTGGTATGAACAGATTTTATTTTCAGACATATATTTGTGACACAAATCCTCTTTACTGAATACTTGAAATGACCAGTTTTTAAAATACTGGTGCCCAGACTCCCTTGGTAGACATTTTATGCTAAACTCAAGACAATTTATAGACTCCTAGAAAACACATTTCAAAAAATGAAAATGCTGATAAACATCTTCTGTCAAAGGCTTTTATAATGTAATAGCATTACAGTCACATGAAAAAAGCATATGAGTAATCATGACCAAAAAGAAGGGGAAAACGATCTAATATACCAAATAAAATGAAAGTGCATTATAGGTTAAAGATTACATTGAACTCAATAAAGCATAATGGGATGGATATGAAGCATAATGAACTAAATAAAATACCTTCTAGATTCAATATAGTGTGCAATAAAATACACAGACAAATGCACTTTGTGCTTGATATAGTGCATATTGAAAAGCTAGTTGGCATAAAATGACCTTATGAAAAACTTGTATCATTATTTTAGGCAAGGCACAGAGCCAAGCAAACCCCTCCAGAATTCGTTCACTTTTCCCAGGAGGCAGAGGTAACAACCTCTTTACATTTTCAGGTTAGGTCATGCAGTGAACAAAATACTTGAAAGACAATAGGTTAGAATTCCTTTTACAGCTCCTTTAATACAACATATGAAGAAAATAAAATAATTGCTAGAAATTAATACTGACAGTGTCATTTGAGAAGTTAAATTTTTGGTACATTCACAAAGGGTTTGCAAGACAAAAGTTCTTTCTAATTTTAGATTTGGAGTTAGTTTTTACAAGCAAAGACTTTAAATAGGGCTAGGCTAGCCATGGACACAAACATCCTGATACGACTGTCATTTTTTGGCTCATTGTAAATGAAATCCCAAGCTAAGCTGTTCATAAAGGCCAGATTCCCTGAAGGAAAGGACAATTCAGATTTTTCGTTTGCTCCAGAGGCAAGATCTTAATTTCTTGTTTCCTTCATGGGAGAAGAGGGGTTGCTGTTTCAAGACATGAAAATTAAAAGGCTAAGGTAAAAAGGGGTCTTATGCCTGTCTTGAGCTAGGAGAGGCACCTGTTTGATGGAAACTTTCAATGGCTAAATAAGGCTTCATCAAGTAGAGGTGATTTTTAGACAATACAGACTAAGAAGATGTTACTAATACAGCAGAAGATGATACTGCCAGAAAGAATTTGCAGTCTGACAGAGAACCATATCTAAAGTATATCAGCATGTAGCATCTGGTCTTTGTGTAGTGTCTGAACATACCTTGCCTGAATTTGTCTGCATGGTCAAGGAGAGGCTTGCTACAAATTCTCGTAGCTGACACATATATAAGTTTTAAAGAAGGTGTAAACAGCTGACAAACATCAAAATTATTTTTGTTAAAATTCTTTTGCATGCACTCCCTGCTCTGAGAGAAAGATTTATTTCCTTTCATATTTGGCATAAATAAGCATAATACTTTCTTTCAATACAGAGTTCCTTCATCAACTGAGATTCTCCTGTGGAAAAAAAGGAATATTCTTGTCTAAAAATACATCAGTAAAATCAGAGCCAGAAAGGGTCTATATGGAAAAGAAAATGCAAACAAGTACAATGAACTGCTTTACCATTTATTACTTATTTTGCGTCTATATATGAGTAATAAGTTAACTTACAGGTGTTTGCAGCAGCATAAGGGATTTATGTGAATATAATGAGTCTGAACCTGCAAGGTACTGGCTGGTCTCAGCTCCTTGTGACATTTATGAGATTAGTGGGAATCCAAGCTCCTCTAAGGAGACATTCAGCACCTCATAGCATCAACTCCAGGCTCCATAGAAGTCTCATGAAGAAATTAATTTTAATCAATAGTGTAAATATTTCTACTGTCTCATGACAGTCATTGTTTCAATGGTATAATTCAGTGAGAAATGGTGAAAAATGGGCACTGTCTTTTACACAGAAGCCCATATGCTCGATATTTAAATGACTTCAGTAGTCTGTATGACCTGAGAGTAACAGAGGGATTGAGAGTACTTAAATGCTATTCATCATATCAAAGAAAATAAAATTCTGATTTCCTAGCAATTCAACCAATCATTTGGTAAGTATTCAGTCAAAAACAGAATCTGAGTGATTATAAGACTGTCAGAAAATGCTTTGTACAGATTTTACATCATATCATGACTCATGTGCACTGTTTATATAAAAGTAACCGAATTCTGACCTGCAAACACAATAATACTCAGTTAAACAGGCTGTTATTGTGAAAGGCAACATCCCTCTCATCCAGAAGGCAGAATTACAACAGGGTTTCCCAAGTGTCCTTTTGAACTCAGCAAGATTCCTGGCTGGGTTTGCCTCCAGCCTGGGCCACCTCCAGCAGAAGTCAGCCATACATTAGATATTTGGAAATAGGTTACATAATTTCAGATTATTCTTGAGAATTTTTTGTTCATATTAAAAGTTATTTCAAATTAGGTGCAAAAGATACAGACATTCATATTACTGCTCATAAAGTTCAGCAGAGTTTCTTTGCCAAAACCCCTCCAGCATTTTCCAAAGTAGGTGTGAACGGGGCACAATGGATGGAAAAGGAAATGAAAAAAAGGCTGGAAGAGATAATATAAAAATATGTGAACTATCATAAGAACAAGTAAGGCCAAAAATACAGCTTGTCTTTGCCATTGGCCAGAGGTAACTGCAAAGGAATAGTATTTCACTGAGATAGTGAAGAGCCAATTAAATGAAGCTCTTTCACTTGGGAAAGTGCAGAAATCATAGAGATCAACAAAACACAGCAATGATGCTTAATTCATTAAAGTGCTAAGCACATTTGGTTTGAAGTTCTCACTGTAGATATTAAAAGATTTACAGGTGATGTTGAAGTCCTAAACTTTTCTGTAAAGTGTGATAGCATGATAATACAATTTTTAATAAATAAGGAACACATTATTATAGTTCCGTTAATAGTCTGAACTATACTCTTTATAAACATGAGTTATGACAGTATGCAACACATACTCTATAATATCAATTATTTATCTGTTTAGCTTTTATAATTTAATAGAGTTTAAGCTCTGACAGGAGTTATCTAATGTCACGAAAAAAGTTTCATCCAAGTTAGCCATGTTGAACCCAATAACTGTAGTTAAGTTAAAATATGTCAGCTTCAGAAGATGCCCGCTTTCAACCTGCGCCTCGGATCATGGCAGAGAAGTAGGGATGCAAGATGTTCAGAGAACACAAGCAGATGTAGAAGGAAGTGAAAAAAACACCTACGTACAGGCTGAAAACTAAAGGTGGTTGTCAACTACAGTTGGGATCAACTGGCAGTAACACTATTAATTCAGAGATGGTTCTCTGATACTGTAATATATCAAAGAGAATTTGATTCAGATTGATCTGCAAAACTCCTGCTTCACTCTGACTAGTGCTACATCATCTGGCTTTCACAATCCAAATGGAACATCAGGGGAAACAGTCTCTGGGAGGAACAGCACATGTGCATGCAATTGCACGCTGCAAACCATGTATGTATGAAATAACGATGTTAAGACTGTAGTAGTTGCATAATTGAGTGTTTTTTCCTGGGTTTGTCTACACTTTTTGTTTAAAGGAAAACAAATTTAAACTATTTTCTTACAAATAGCTTAAAAGGAGGAATCCTAATTCTCCTTATTCTGTTTTCTCAGTTCAAAACAGGAATAAGCAAAACAAGTTGTTGGTCTCTTCTCCCAAGTAGTTAGCGATAGGACGAGAGGAAATGGGCTCAAGCTGTGCCAGGGGAGGTTTAGGTTGGATATTAGGAAAAATTTCTTCACAGAAAGGGTAGTCAAGCATTGGAACAGGCTGCCCAGAGAGGTGGGGGAGTCACCATCCCTGGAAGTGTTCAAAAAGCTGGTAGATGTGGCACTCTGGGACATGGTTTAGTCTAGTCTACCCTTGATTGGTTTAGTGTGGACTTGGTAGTGTAGGTTAATGGTTGGACTGGATGATCTTAAAGGTCTTTTCCAACCTAAACAATTCTATGATTCTATGATTCTAAGTAGATAGTTTCATTTCAGTTAGTAAATGACAATGAAAAAATGTCTTTTTGCACAAAACACTAGGAAAATCAGGTTATGTATTTTTACCACTGTATACTGCAGTGTTAATACTTCAGAGTTAAGCATGTGTCATTCCCATAAAATACAAGGGGAGAGTTAACCACTGTCGTGTCTTATATAAACTGCTACTTATCAGTGAAACATGCCTACAATGCAACCAAAAAAATTTTGTCCAGGATATCAACAGGCAATTGTTATGTTGGGTAACTTTGTCAAGTTTCTATTATTAAACACTTGTCACTACAGATATTTATGCTGCCAAAAAAGCATCTAGGAGGGAAAGCATGGTCTAGAGAGAGATTTTTTTCATTCTCCCTATTCTAGAAAGAAAGGAAGGCTTTTTCTTCAATTCTCTATAATTACACACCCACAGGCAAAAATTACACTTGAAAGTATTAATTCCAAAAAGGAAGAATTTTAGAAATCTGTAGCAACTGAAACTAAATTTTAGAGTGGAAATCTCAAGGTAACTTCAGCTAGAGCTGTCATTAGTGTGCTGGTTAGCATACCACATTAATAGAGATACTCCAATTATCTGTCTTGAATGAGTGTCTCTGAACCAGCTAGATATAACTCAAACACATTTCTAATGAGCCATAGGCAAATCTCATTAGTCTGTGATACTGGTAGAGATAATGAGTAGCTCAGATTCATGCAGCATATTGCCTTGCACAAAGTATTTTCTTTGAGGCCATAACATTACACATCAGAAGTATATGAACACACAGAGGCCTACTTTTGGATTTGCACTTTTCTTCTAACAAGTATTAACAACTCTTCTGACTTGTTTGTGCCATGGTTTTAATGCAAACATCACATTTACAGCAGAGGAGCCGACATGCTTAATGTAACCAAAAAAAACATTAAAAAAAAAAAAAAAAAGCCAAGCTTTTCAAAAGGACTGGCTAAATACAATTAAATAAAGTATGTTACTTTTCTGAAGTTATCTGGCTTTAAGTGCAAATTGCTACATGCCAGAGAACGTGGGTAGTTTCTTAAGGGAAACATTCTGCATACTCCGCTGACCAGAAATTGTGGCAGAATAAAGGAAAAATGTTTTATCCGAATAGTGAAATTTTCCTCCCTCCTTATCCAATTCATCTTCAAAAAGTCCCTTTTTGGTACTAAAAATCTGTGTAAGAATCAGAAAGTGTATGAAAGTCTCCTAGGCTTCAGATTATTCTGGTCCTGATACTGCTTATCCAATATTACGGATTATAACAGACAGGTTGAATCATGGTGTCGGATTAAAGGTCAATCTCTACAAATGCAAAGGACCTGATGAGGCTTGGAGGAGCAACATCAGGCGGAGTAACCTGATTAACCAAACCATTGAAAATGGACTCACAGGATCGTCCATTCCCCAAGGCCACCAGAGAGAGTGGGCAGACCCCGAGCCCAGGTGTGAAACCCACCAAGATGAGTCAACAAAAGAAACTGTCCCCCGGACATCACGTAAGCTAAAGGGGAGGTTGCTTGCATGGGTAGGAGTCATTGTGAGGTGCAGGGAGGAGAGGACTTGGGGGGACTGCATAAGAACTTTATTTGCAATGTTCTAAGGGGATTGTGGGAACATGTGAAACACTATGGGTACTCAGGGGAAAGGACTAAAGGCGGGGAAAGGGAGGGGTCAAGGTGAACTTGGTCAAGGTGCACTGGAAAAAGCATGGGGAAATAGGAGGAAACGGGTTTAAAAGAGGCTGTCCGAGTGTGAAGAGTTAGCTGATCAGTGTGCTCGTCTGAATGAGCCCTGCACTTGATCTCTTACTTTAAGCTATATTCTTCTGAAATCCTATTTCTCACTACCCCCTTTGTGGGTGTACTCTCTACTCTGAGGGTGTGTGTGATCACTAGTGCGTTTCCAGCCAGACCAGAGATGATGAGCAGCACAAGAAACTTGAGGACCTGCAAAGAGAGTGAGTAGGACCTTGAGCCTCAGGGGCTGGTGGGTCCAGGCATCATGAGCTGGACCAGCTCTGGGGCCAGCCGCTGTGCAGGCTGTCCAGGAGAACCCCACGTTGCCTGTGTGTGTACTTCACTAATGGACTTCGATCCCGAGCAGCCGCACAGAACAGGGGTCAGGCCATTCATGCTGTTCACATTCATGTGAGTGCCAGCAAAGGTGCTGCTTTTGATGTGTGCTGGTTGGTGTGGCCTGCCGTGTGTGTGTGTGTGTGTGTGTGTGTGTGTGTGTGCACACATGTGCATGCCTGCTGGGCATAAATGTTTGGCCTTGTACTGCCTTGACCTGAGGACAGGGAGCCACAAAATCCTCCCATCTGTCAAGCTAGCACTGAAGGAATCCATCTGGGTCCTGATGCTATCCAGATTTGAATGCCTCTAACACTAGAGGCAAACAGATTATATTTTGTGCAAGGCAAATCCTGTTGAATGTTTTTGTTTTGTTTCATTTATGATAGGGTCACATGAAGGTTTGTAGGACCAGAAGCTGTCCACACAGAATACCAAAACCATGAGGAAAAAAAGAAGTTGAAGCCTGCGTAGCTACTTTGGGGGCAGGGGGAGAAAAAGGTAAAACGCTGGGTAGAAATAGATTTTCCTATTCTTACGTCTAATATAAACATTCTTACAGACTTTTTTTTTTGTTTTCCCATATTTATTTTTCCTGCTATCTCCTATCAAGAGTAGCCCTTGAAGTTTATGCATTAGTGCATCATTGAGAACTTCACAGGCATTTTTACACAGGGAAGTTATTAATTTATATAATTCCTCTGAGAAAGTAAGCATTTTTAACACTATGTAAATACAGAAACATTATTTTTTAATTGTTTCCTTTACCAAAAAAACCCTGCAAAGAAATGCATCTGAAAAGGCTTCTTCAATAGACAAAGTAGATACTGGAGAAGTTTGCAGAAAGATGAAGCAGAGTAGAAACTGCCAAGAAAATTGGAGCACTGAGGGGTCTGGACAAACTAAGGACATTGCATTCAGAAAAGTGGAAAACAGAACAAACTTTGAACATGCCAAATTTGAAGCACAGAAATAGGTGGCAAAGAACAGGTAACATCATCTCCCATGCCACTCACAGAAATACATTTGAAGTTTTGTGATCGATTCTAAGACATTCACTGCAATGTGTAGATAAGCAAATAAGCAGCCAACCTGATGCAGAGCACCGACAATTTTTCGTGCTTCTTGGTAGACTGTCTCAGCGGTCCAGTGGCTGTTGATGTTTTTGAGGGCTCTGGCCAGGCGGTTGTGCTCTCTCAGCCACAGCGTGTGCATAGCTGCCAGAGAGGTGACCTCACTGGATCGGCTGTCCCCAGCCATAAAGCATTCAATCCTCTCACCTTCACTTGCATTCGGGTCCTGTGCACAAGGTGATGGGATCTGGTCTGTAAAAGGCAGGTATTCCCGATGGTTATCATAATATTTAACATTTACTCTAAGAAGGCCTTCTTTGCTTGTGAAATTCCTCAGTTTGTTTTCAACAGCAGGGGTACTGCCATAGATGGTAGAAGCATCAAGAAAAGAAGTTAATCCATTGATCTGTTGTCTTGGATTTAGTGCTGATAGATTTCCAAAGAGAGTGCCATGATCACCAGTGCCACACGCAGGAGATGAGCGGTAGAAGGGCAGGCAATCCATCCCTGCAGTTAATGTATCATTGGTGGTCACCTGCATAAAAAAACCCCGTGTATTTTCTGAGGTGAAGGTAACAGTTGTGGATGTTGAACTAAGGCTTGTGTAAATATTTCCATCTTCTGTCTCAGTTTTCAGTTGTTCAGCTCTCATCTACTAGAATGGCATTCTAAACCTGTAGAGACTTTTTTTTTTTGATTGATTTAAGCAAAAAGATGATTTAACCCTTTTCAAGCAAAGACAGAAATAAAACCCAAAACCTTTACACTGTCATAAGAGTAAGCTACTGATGTAACCCCTTTTGAGTAGATCCACACCTAAATTAGCCTGGCTTCACAATCAAAATTCATCATGAAATGTATCACAGTGAAGACATGAACATCTGGTCAAAATATGTTCTACTGAACACCAAGTGAAACAGCAGGTTTACCTGTATACATAAAAACATAATGAAGAGTTTCAATGCCTGCAGCAGCACACTGTAAAAGCTTTGTTTCAATACCTAATTTTAACCGAGTTTCCTAACTAAAAAAGGCATATGTAATTATTCACTCTGCTTTCTGCCAGTCCCCCATAATCTTTTCCCCACATTATTTTACAGCGATGGCTGTCTTACAAGTATTAAATTCTGGCCGTCTTTATAAAAAGCAAAGGCTGAACATAGCCTTTGCCAAATGAAAGACTTCCCAGTCCTTTAACAGTTTGACCCCCACACAGCCAAGAGACTGAGGTCAAATGGTGATCCAGCATTTGTATGGATGCTGGATAGTCAGCATTCATACAGTTTGAACCAACCCATCGCACAGTCAGCTATTCCAAATATAGGTAAAGGGCATGGGAGAAATATGTGGGAATTATCAAATTGGATCTTGGGGTATAGGTAAGGGTCTTAGGGGAAAATACAGCCCAAACCAGACAGCTAGAAGTTTGGCCACAGGAGAGCACCGAAAAACATGCATGAATAACTTAACAGATGTGGGGAGGGCAGCAGAGATCTTCAAGGAGGATAGAAAGGAAGAGGGAGAAAGGTTTTATTCGCATTGTAGGATATCCAAAAGGAAAGCTCAGAACATCAGTTCTATATCAAAGAGTAGAGTTCATCAGTAAACAAAAAACTACCAGGTTTCAAAAAACCTAAAACCTATCTTTGTTGTCTAATGCACATTTGGCTTTATGAACTCTGTTTTTCTAAAAGGCATTATTTCCAAATTCTAACAGCACTGTATTATGTACCATCAGCTAGCCATACCAGAGTGTCAGCTCCAAGAGTTTAAAAAAAATTAACCTCAATTAAAAATGTTATAAAAATCATGGAGTCTGAGTTTCAGGAAATATACTGCTGGGGTTTTCTTATCAATTGATTAACATAGAATAGGAACAGATAACACTTAATAAAGCTGCTGAAATATCCCAGAAAAAAATAATCTTCAAACATTTGACTAAGAGAAAATAAATGTTTTGTACAGACACCTGAGCTAACAATTTTTATTTGTATTCCATCTCCTTGCTTTTCATTTTTTTCATTCTTGGCCAGAAGACAGTGAATACTGCAGGTGTTATATAAAATTTTGTAATTTCTTCTTCATACTTCTAATAATGCAGAGACCAGTCTGTGAAGATAAAATAATTATTAAATTGGGGGTAAAAGTAACAAGGCAGCTTTGGAAAGGCATTCAAGAGCTTCATATAATAACGCCATTACCTCATTTATTATATCAAGTAAAATTTTCTTACTACTGACAACTCACGGCAGTAGGAATTTATACCAATAAAGCATTTAAGTTAAGAAAGGGTTTCATTTGGTTTTCAAGTTTTGTTTGGTAAAGAAATTCTACCAATATTTCTTTACCAGTTAGGTTTTAGCAAATCAAAGTAGGCTATTTTTGAAGGAAGTATGTAATTTCATTTCCTTCTTCTTTCTTTCACTGATTGCTGAAATCGGTAATTTCTCTGCCTTGGGTTTTCTATTTAGTATTTGTCTCTATTATTAAGTCTCTTGTTCTCATTATTAAGAGATTATAATATCTTTATAATATCATTATATTAAGTTTCTTGTCTGTTCTCATACTACAAATACCTGCCATAGCATTGTGTGTGTTTGAGTACCTCCTGCTTCTATTTATCAGGAAAGCCTAGAAGAGTTCAGGTATCCCTGGGAAAAAATGTATGAACCACCTTTAAGTTGTTAAAGAGTGAGGCTCACAAAAAACCATATCAACAGTGAGTGAAGTTCATACTGAATAATCTTTAGTTAACTGCCTCTGCAATTTCAGTTCAAACCGTTCTGTGCCCCAGTGGGGAAAAACAGCAGTAATGAACATTAAGGGACTGGCAGAACTGCATAATGCAGTCCTTTCCCTTTTCATGGGATAAGCTGTGTGCAGCCAGCAGCTGAATATGCAAATGAGAGGTTCCTTACATTATTATTCAAATGACATCAAAAATAATATGAGAAAAAAAAGAGACCCTTTTCTACTGAAATGGGTACAGAATCATGTTTTTCTCCAAAACTAATGAAGAATATCTGTATCAATTTTTTCTTTGCCTTGCATAATTATAAAGGAAAAAAACTCACAACATAACCCTCTCTGGACACACTAGTTTTCCTAGTATAGCTGCATGTTGATTTAAACTGTTATTATATATGCATGGTTGAACCTGTTTATGGTGAAATTCTTCTATGTGTAGGAAAATGAAAGGCACTAATTGTTTCAGTGTACTACAATGTCTAAACTGTCATTTCAGTTAAAGAAAAGTCTTTCTTATTGTGGATTTGTTCTGTGGGAAATGACCTTGTAAAAGGATTTTCACTGTAGACTTTAAACCTAGCTTATGGTCTATGAAAGTTGCCAATAAGGAAAACATGAATGTTTATTTGTGGACACAAGACTCAGAGGACAGGCAATGACCCCATGTGACAGTGAGCTGCTGCCTCTGAAACACAGAAGAAAAAGGCAAGGGCTCACTTCTCGGGTTGTTGAGTGCACACAGACAGATCCATTTGTAGCCGAGACAGTAACCTGTCATGTTACACGTCACCTTTTGCAAATCACCACACTTTTCTGGGGCTCTGTTTCTTTTCCACCCTTTTGTACCTGAACTAACTGTCTGAAAGCATTTCAGGATTGTATCTTACTATGTGTATGCACCATGTCTAACTTATTGTCAGCAATGTAATTAATACTGAATAAAGTCAGTAGCTGTCCTATGAAAGTCTTTCTAATGTCTCATTATGTCTCAGCCCTAACCTGTAATAATCATCTGAGGAATGACAGGTTATCTCCACAACTCTGTTCCATGTGTCAGGCTGCTGTAAAAGAAGTATAGACTAAAAAAGTATAGACTAAAACTAGTGATTTTTTCTTTCATTCTTTTATTCTTTTTTTTTTTTTTTTTTTTTTTCCCTCACATTATGGAATTCTGAAAAGACAGAGCAAAATGTTCGGGCTCTACCAGAAGCTACAGGCTCAATGTGAGAATCGCTGGGTGAAATTTTATAGCCTTTAATATGAAAATGTCCAGAATAGAAAATCATAATGGTTCCTGCTAACCTATGAATCATTTACCTACACTTGTTATTAATATTAATGCACTACCGCAGCATTCAGTTCTTCATTGAATTGCACTGACTCAGAACATTTTCCAGACAGCTTCCCTAACCTGTGCAGTCAGGATCTCCCTTTCCCCAGTGAAACCCCCAGAGAGGGTGCGTAGCTCCAAGCACTGTTGTCCTTTTCCATGTATGGATTCTCCCTTGGGTGCAGCTGTTCTGGGAACACAGCAAGAGTGCACACTGCAGTCTCTATGTTTACACTGTTGGATAATATGCTATTGATTTCACTGTCTTTGGAAACCAGCCACAGTTTCTTCATACACAAAATGAACGTATAAAACTAAGTGTGGCTCTTTTCCAAATATTTAGTAGGTAGAGATTAGCTTTACTTAAGATTTCAGGAAGAAAATCAGTTCTAGGAGGAAATGCCATTTTGTTTCAGTGTTCAAAAAATAGTTCCTCTGCTCACACTAATAACAACAAGCCCCCTCCTTTATGTTGTTTTTTTTTTTTTAATACAGTGTCTATTCTTTGCCTTTGACAAAGCCAGTCACAGAATATTAGATATAATATAGCAAAAGAACAACAATCTTCATATCTGTCCCTCTTTAAGCTGTGAATAACAGAAGAAATAACAAAATGGAGCTGAAAGATTCATGGGACTGTGATCAAGTAATGAATCCACAAGTTGGGAAACTTCTCTAATATTTACAGGGTTGTGTCTGATTTTCTTTATATGTTCCCCCCATGGCCATTCTGAGTGTCAGACACTGAGTCCCAAAGGTAGCCATGGGTATGCCTTGACCCTGTTCCCCTGCTGGGCTCTACTGCTGAGCAGGAGCAGCTCCTAGGCTACATTCAGTGCTAGATTTAGTGCAAGTAACTTGCTTTCAAGAGCATCCTTGAAACATGCTCTGTGATGAATCTCTTGACAGCTCTGAGACAAGAAATCCAAAATATGTCCTTTGTTTAGAGCACTGAAGGATGCACTTGTGGGTATATGCTGTGGTGATGTGTGCAGCTTCTTTCTCTCTGCACTGTAATGCCCCTGCCGCAAGAATAATGTTAGCCTTGGTGTCCTTTTTAGTAAATTGCCTCCTTTTTAAGCAGATGGGATTTCTAGGCTTGAACTAGTCAGGGTTCAGTGATTAGACTTCAATGGTCCCTGTGATCCACATTTCATTCAAGTTATGGGCAACAGTATGAGTCTGTTCTCAATTTAAAAATCTATTTAGTAATAAAAAATGTGGTGGTTTTGCACTTAAAGATCAATAGTAATTGCACTGCTTTGAAGAACATGTCATAAACAGAAAGCATAAGCTTTAGAAGATTCTTGCGGTTTTATATCTACAGCAAACTGACTTTTGAAAAATGGGAGTCAATACATAGCCACCTTGTGTCATATGGTGGAGACACACTTCACCTCCGTCACACATAATGTGAAGCACTGCTGGTCAGGGACTGGACTTCTGCCCCAGCCTCTCTTGATAAGACTTTGGGAATGGGAATGTTTCTAAGGCTATTACTTAATAGCATAAACAGAGTAAATAATTTCTTGCACCAGACGGAAATTTGAGATTTTTGTCAGAACTATGAAAGAATCACTGTAATTAGGGCTGTTGTGGCCAAACCAGGTTACCCAGACACCCAAACATGCGATACTTCAAATGCTTCCTGAGAATGTGATTCTTTAAGAAGTCTGTCCTCTTACTGAATGCTCTCAAGCTATGCTTGCAAACTTTTGAAAGTCCATACCTGCTGGGTGAGGAGAAATTTACCTGCCTGTGGTAAAATTACAGGTAGTCATTAATTTCACTTAGCCTTCCCTGTGTTTCAGATTATCTCACCAAATGGAAGATGACCCATCTTTCAACACAAGACCTGATTCAGTTCCCACTACAGTTAGCAGAATATTTTCCTTTAAGTTTAATGGAAGTGGAATGAGACATTTAAGGCAAGAGGAGACTGTGGCATACTTATCAGTTACAGTTTGCTAGGGAAAAGAGTTTTCTATTCTGATCAAACTTATTCCCTACA